AAGAGTAAAAAAAGGATGTCAAGGTGATCTCCATTTCATAAATCGTTAACAAGGAAAAAGATAGAAGGTTTGGAGATAAGAAAGATATATGTGATAAAACAGTAATCACGTTTTCTAGGGCATAGTGCAGTGAAAACTAAATAGCTCTTATTTAGAGAGTGGATTCGATCAATGTATTGTTGGCTTCACAAGAACACGTAAAAAGGACTTTAGAAAGATACTACTGCAGAACACTTGAGCTTCCAGGTTATCAAACAGCACCGAGTATGTACCAACCATCTTCATATTTGCAATCGGAACCCGACATTCCAATCGAAAAGAAAATTTATGTGTGGTAATGCTACGGAAAATGCCCCCTTCCGTCAGCTGTATGGAACTTCTAAGAGCAACATCTTTCTCCTGCTGTCCACAAAATATACGAAAGCACCTGCAGCATATGCTTGTCGGGAGTGTACAGATTTTGGAAATTCTCTGGTTGTTTAAGTGTTATGTTCTCCTCGTATATGGTGTTTGCCACCGCTTTGCATTCCATTATTCTTCTGGAAGCCTCTGAACGTGGAGAAGAGAGGGATGATGACTCAGATGCGATTGGCTCCAGTTCTCCATTCGGACACTAGGAACAGACAGAAATCATTTGAAAAAGGAGCAGATAAAAAAGCAACTGCGTTAGATGATCGTTGTGAGGCAAAGCAAATTGTCCCTTTTGAGTTTTTCCCAAACAGGATCCACTCTATGCTAATTTTTAGGTACACCGTAGAGTTTCACAAACAAACTCATTTCAGCAAGCAATGCACATTTATTCATTATTTCTGCATTTATTCACTTCAAACCGCCTCCTTGGAACTTGCGATTCAAATCATTTGCAGTAGACGTTCAAGCTTGGGAATTGCAGGCAAACTTACCAAGTTTCATCGACGCTATGCACGCAAACGGTTGAGAAAAGATGTGAGCGGTCCAACCAGTGGACGTGCATAATTAGTCGTGGTTTATAATTGGCGGCATGATAAGAACGTCATTAGTTCACCAGTGATAAACAAATATTCATGCCTGCCATTCATATCGTTGTCAGCTTGGGTGCTTCGGAATGTAGTTAGAAATTGCTAGGATCTTGCATCTTATCTTAGAAACGTTATCGTGACTTCTACTTCCTATATTTCCTTAGCGAACTTACTATAATTCAGATTTTGCGTAAGAGCAAGTGACTCAGTTATGCGAGGTATAAAGTTTGCATAGCCGATTGCGCACCAGTTACCTCTAAAACCATCTTGGAAAATATGCACTAAACAACACTTGTTGGGGGAAAGGACTGATCATCATAGAACAGAAGAGGCCTGCCCGCCTTTGAGGAGGCAAGTACTAGGCGCGAGGAACGTGCGGGAAAATTAGAGTACTTAAGTCTTACGTACGGAGGAATAACAGGTTGCAGTTAGACATATCTCACATTTGGATTGTGAGATTGCTTTCGCCGTATACGTGTTGGACTAGGGTAAAGTGATTCTTCACTTCATCGTGTTTCTCTTTTTTTGATTGAGTGTTGTGTCGGGGCCCCTCGTCTTCCTCCCCAAGCACCGTCTCCACTATCTTCTTTCGTTTGCATATTTTCGTTTCGTTCTCTGTTGTTTATTTCGTTAATAAATAAATTGTGTACGCGGTGTGTTCTGTTCCGCGGTTTATCCGAGTCATACCAAGTGAGTCGAGATCGGGCTCACACTTAACATAATCTTATTTAAAGAACCTCCATAAAGAGTGTTTGTTATCCTGCCAGATGATAGCACAAGGGAATCTCGGTATCGTTCTGGTTGATACCTGCAGATTTTTCCCTTCTAGAGCGTGTAGTTGTGGCAAAGTGAAAAAAGAGGTCTATTTTCACACGTCAACCACGAAGATTCTTGTCTTTTACTCTAACGCTGCAGATGGTAACTGCTTATTGACGTCGCCCATGATAGCCCGTTTCACGGTTTGCTGGACGGATTTCTTGGCTGGTTGGCATTTTTTCAACATGAGTAGGTAGAGCAACGGCACTGCGCACACCAAATGGTATGACAATGGGGCTGCAAGAATATCATCTTAAATGCAAGATCCAGCTAGGAACTTTTAAGCCTAATATTTCAAAAGGAATTACCGTGCTACGAGGCAGGCTTATTGGCCCGTGATGGTCTACAGCCTCATCGTGGCGCGGAAGTGACTCTGGCTGTCGAACTGCGAAGTACAGCGAAGGTATATCCTCCAGCAGGATCTCCCAAGCTACGAAGGAGTTCGACGTTTCCGGTTCCCCGGATGCCCAGCTAAGAGTAGGCCATGCCAGAAGCACTACCGTCTGGATGATTCAGTCGCTAGGTGGCACATATCTCCCTGATGCACATGAGGTCAGCGATTGCCTGTGGTGAAAGCTTGGCAGGGCCCTGGCAAGGCACTGCTAAAGTTTGGGAAGATTCATTTACACATTGCCCTTACAGCATGTGATAGGAAAAGAAGCCCTGCACACTGGATCAAATCTACGGCGTCGGGACCAAGGACACGTCAACAACTCGCCATGGAGATTGTCTCATGCTCTGCACTTACAACGCCAGGACAGTCTCCACCAACGCCGATCTTCACGCCCTTCTCAAAGCTGCAAGACGCACCAACTACCACGTAATCGCCTTGCAGGAAACAAAGTCCAGGAAGATGAACCTGAGGCAGCTAAGTGATGGCACACATCATTCCTGGTTAAAAGGTTCCATCACGGAATGTTGGAGGCGTTGGAGTGTCGTACACCCATTTGTTGTCCATCTTGTCGATTCGCATGAGATTATCACCTCGCCTGGCTATCCTTCGACTCCGTCCTCTGCATCAGAAAGCCATCATTATCAACAACTGTTATTCTCCAACATCAGCAGCCGAGGATTCGGAACTTGATGCTTTTTATGAGGATTTGGAGGAAGTCATCCGCAAAGAAAACTCCTATAAGTTCATGGGTGACTTCTATGCGAAAATTGGGATACCAGAAGAAGGGGAGCACAGGATCGGGAGATTTGGATCAGGACTCCGGAATGAGAACGGCAACCGTCTTGTTGGGCTTTTATCCGCCGCACGACTTTTTCAAGGCAACTCCATTTTCATGAAAAAGGAACACCGGCGGTGGACATGGGAGTCACCCAAAGGTACGACTCGTGCGGAGATCGACCACATTCTCACCAACCAAAGGTGCTGCTTACTGAACGTCTCAGTGATACAATCCTTCGGTAGTGGCTCAGATCACCGCCTCCTTCGAGCAAAAGTGAGATTCAGGCGAAATCTGAAAAAGAAGATCTGCCACCATGTTGGTGGAAGGAGAGAAGTCGTATATGACGTCAGATTTGAGGAGCC